TATATATACATATATATATATTAATAAAATAATGTAATTTGTATTGATTCAACATATTATCTCTGAAGCCTAGCGGCATGGCCTCCTTGCGACACAACGAGGCCGGCGTAAGCCACAGCCCCAGGCGGTGGCGGCTGTGCCAGAGACCGTCGGTGGGAGCAGCGCAAGCTCAGGCGAGGCGGCCAGTGCATCCTGCGGAAATCTGAACCCATCTGAACCCCATGTCGCTTCGAGTTTGAAAGCCCAGAGAAAGACAGGCAGCCACCTCTTTTCATGGGGCATGGACATCGGATTTCCGATGGTTCCTGCTTGCAGGACGCCGGAGAGGCGCTTTCAGCACCCGCGCAGGACGTCCGGTCAGCATTCAACAGAGACCGAGTAGAATAGCAGCCACCAGAAGTCGGATTAAATGAGGGTGACATCATCCTCTTAGAGGCACTACAAGATGATTATACTATAATGGACCCCCAAGCCCAATTCCAAGTATCAAGGCTTCTGTGGCTTTGGAACCGGGACAGCCGGAGGAGCTCTGGAGGAGAAACCGGAGGCCACCGAGACTTTTCTGGATGCAGAGGAGGAGCTGGAGAATCCGTGGGTTTCCATGAAGACGGTTGCCTTTTCTGCACCTGCAGAGGAGCAGGATTCGGACGACCTCAGAACCGCTGAGGCACCCTAAATGCCATGTCTTTTCAACTTTGCTGCCGTTACAGACTCTGGTGGCCAGGCTCGTGCAAATCGCGGAGACATCAGGTGGGATCCTCGACAAATGCTCATGCTGCCTTGATTGTCCATCTCCCGCTGGATAGAAGAGCAGAAGGGAGCATGGAGGTACTTGTACCTCGGACGCTTAGCAACCGGCTGTTGTCGCCGTGACTATGACGGCACTGCCAGGGATTTGCTTCGTCGTGAAAAATTCGTCCAACTCTCAGGCCATGACAAAGCCCAGCTGTTGCCAGTTAAGGGGGCGACGTTATGTACCTGGCAGTGCTAGAGGAGTGCACTTCTCCAAGCGCCTCCGTCTGACTAAGGCTTGTTCGCGAAAAGATGCAGAGCTTGCTGTGATGACCGGGAAGCTGGACCCCTTGGCACTGTTTGTGTAAGACGCCAGAATTCAGAATTTGGGGGACCTCAATCAACACCTGTCATGGCAGGACCGCAATCCAGGCCGCATAGCTGTCGAGGCGACACACTGAATGGCCACAAGTATATGTTTGTGGTCTGTCTTTTCCTCACGGTGCAGGGCCGAAACGAGGAGCTTCCTCCAAGGCGTACAAGGCAAGCTGCATGTTTACGACTTGCTTGACGAAGCTTTGGTCTACAAGTCTGCGGTTTTCCTGGCGAATGACTGGTGTGTCTCTGATTATCCCTCTCTCTCTCTCTCTCTCTCTCAGGCCGCAGTGCGTGAAGGAAGAGTTCGAGCGCCAACGAGCTCGCTGGCACTTGCTGCCTCCTCAGCCAAGTCGGACCGCAGAAGCCCCGCCATGACTTTCATGCCACACCTGGAAAGGAAGTGGTGGCTATGATCAGAGAGGGTGTGGTTTCAGTTGCAACTACAGGTAGTAGATTTCCCCTGTTCCTCTCAGCATCTCGAGTTTCATAGGTCCGCTTAAGCGGCAATGCCATGCTCCGCCAAGGCCACCGCGGGGCAAACACGTCGGTTACATGCCACAGGCCGATCAGCGGACCAATGCAATCAGCAATACTAGTTCAGGGTTTTAGGGTTCAGGGGTTTAGGGTTTAGGGTTTTACTGTACCACCATGTGCCCTGAGGTTCCTTATTGGACTTACACTGTAATCGACCCCAACTACTAGCCTAAGTGCTAAGGTTGCAGTATCGATGATGGTCATCTAAGTCTTGTACTTTGACCTTGATACGTGTGGGCCCCTTTTACAAGTCCAAGCTGAACCGCTTGCATGGATGATCCACCAGACAATTTCAGTCTAGGATTGTCTTTTCAGTACTGTCACCTGTCGCAGATGGTGCGAACATGTCGGGTCTATGTCTTCTCATGCTGCGAAGCCATTGAAGATTTGGCCGCATGCCTTGCTAATGGCATGCCGGCAGTAAATCGGATCCAAGAAGGAAAAAAGTGGATGCTGATGTGGATGAAACGATAGGGACGGGAGTTCCCTGTTAGACCTACTTGTATGCAAGAGATTGCAAGAGTCCAACAGTAAACGTACATTGCTGTAGGCCTTCATGCACCGTTTACGCCTTGCGCTGGACAGGCCCATGTCCTGGGAACCGGCGCAGAGCTCAATCGCGCTCTTGCAAGGGCCAAGGGCCGTGGCCTGGCTTAGATTCCCCCTCGTCTTGGGGTTCTCACCTCGCTGAGGCCAGGGGAACCTGGGTGCTTTGGAAGACGGCCGGCGGCCTATGCTTGCAACATCAAGCCGCACGCCCCTGCAATCAAGCACCAAGGTCAGAGGACAAGGCGAAAATAGAGTTGCTACTTGCTGCTTTGTGCCAGGTCTCTCAAAACTGTCGGTGGCAGTTCACATCAGGAAGTGTGTGTTCTCATCCAGCTCAGGTTAGATTCGGGATCCCTCCTTGAAGCGCAGCTTTACCTACCGCGATCTGAGGTGCGAGCAGCGCCCCACCACGGCGGGCCGACAAGGCAACGGGATGTCAGGGTTCGCTTCAGGTTGAGATTTGCTTCAGCCGCAGATGTCTGCAAAGAGGGCTCTCAACCCTGAGCCTCGAAGCCCTAAACCAGACAGAAGCTCAGAAAGGAGTTATAGAAAGGTTTGGGCGTTCAAGGCGGACTTGCTCAAGCGATGCCTTCAGACCGAGACCCTGAAGTCTCCAGGACCTGCTGGCGCCGAGTTTCGGTGGCCTCCCGGAGTTCGATGACCAACCGGGCTTCTTTCGAGGCTCAGGCTGGGGGGCGGGGGGGGGGGGGGTGTTGGGTCATGGGATGTTTGGGTTTCTTGGCCCCTCTTTTGTTTTCGGGGGGAGCGTCCGTGGGGGAGCGTCCTTGTGTTCAGTTTCAGAGTCCGACTACTCGGGAGCTCTACGAGGGATCCCGACTTTCTCAAACTCTCAGGCATGGTTTCTAATTTTGCGAGTTGACGGATGCAGGTTGTCTGAAACATTGGTAAGTGTATCAGTTGGACTAGCAACGAAAACCCTGCAACATGCAGCTCTGCGAGACTCGGCATGACACTGCCCACGTCAATGCTGTCGGTGACCCTTTCTCCGCTCTTGCAGGTTTCGCGAGCTTTGGTTGAGGCCAGCGTCCAAGAATCTTTGCCGGTCCAACGTCGGGCGCTGCATGCACGGCGTTCCTGATCTTTCCTGGCTGTTAAACGTTAGCGTTATACAGCGATGACATCACCCTCCACCGCTCCGGAGGCTACCAGCGAAGGAGTTGAAAGCTCGTCCACGAGCTTCCGCACGTAGTTTGAGACGGAAGGAGTCAACTGCCACGATTCAGCTCAGACGCTTGTCCGTGCAAGAACTCGGAATCCTGGTTATAGGAAGTTGAAGCCAACGTAGAATCAGTGGCCAGAACGTCTCCTTCGAGCTCCCGTGGATGCAAGCATAGCAAGGTGCGGTAGGTATGCATCCAGGCATCTTTTGAAGCCACTGTCTGCCACGAGCAGCATTTAGAACTTCGACTGCATTGGAAAGGCGGGTGGCTCTTCCTGTTGCATCGGCCCCTCCGGCCCTGAGTATGGGAGCGGCAATCTCAACTTCTTAGTACCCTACACTATTTTGCCAGTTAGTGTGGTTCTTGTGATGCTTAGTGGATGTCAGATTTGCGTTGCCCCTGTCCAGCATGACAATGTTTCCAGAGCTTGCCCCTAGCATGGATATCCTTAGGATTAACTCAACCATGACTTGCGGCATTCGAATTTGTCTGCAGCCTTGGCTTCGAGAGACAGGCCAACCAGCACAGAATCTGCATAGAAGCCTTCGTTGCCGGTCAAGCAACCCTCTTAATTCACAAGCCGTGTCAGCCTTTCGACACCCTGAATCCCATGACCGATGGCCCGTGCCTGCACAAGGAAGGACCGTGCAGGTCCCTGTAGAAGTCTGAGACACCAGTCGAAGTCGGTTGTTAGACTCGGAGCCGAAAATAGCCGGAGGTCATGGAAGGCATTGTGTGTGCTTGGCTGCGCAATGACCTGCGCCTTCATGACAACGGTGTGCTGCACCAGGCCGTGATTAAAGTTGACAGCTCTACAAGTTCTGTCGGGGCATGAAAAAGGGAGAAGGGTTCTGCAGCACGAGGAAGCTTTCTAGTGCAGCCTGTGTGGCAGGGACGATCGAATTTCCATGAAAAGAGCCAGATTGTTGGTGACACGCATCTCCCGCATCCTCCCACAATCACCGACGTGTGAGCGGGTTGACGTCTCTTTGCCATACATAAGATGCCGGTCAGGCTGCGGCAATTGCATCCAGGAAGAACCTGCGGGTGCTTCCAGTTTATGCTCGCGTCTGAGAGAGGGATTGCGGCAACGTTAGAGCGAAGCCGACGACGATGATGGTTATGATGATGAGGATGACAATTAGTTGCGATGATGTTGGTGATGATGCCTGAGATGATGTTGATGATGATCAGGCAGACCCGGACGACCGTGGATGAATCCAGCAAAGAGTGCCGAGGGTGGTGACGACGATGATAGTGACGGCGTGGCGATGATGACGAACATAGCATGCATCACGGAAGCTCGAAGCAACAACAACTACGTATGACTACCGACTACCGTCTGACAAAATCTGATGTTGATAACACAACAAGTGTCCTAATGCTGTTTGCTCTAGAAACCTGCACTCCGATATTGCAACATAGTTGAACTAGTCACATTATTCGGTGTTAGCAAAAAAGCTCTTTCTTCTATGAGTTCTTCGGAGCTTACTTACTACGCACCTACGGTTTCTTCTTCCCATTACAGTGCCGGCGTGAGCATCTTTACGAGCATCATCATCGACACTTCATAAGTCTCCACACTGAAATCCACGCTGCATCATGCTACATATGTTCTTCTCCGTCTGCATTATGATGATGATCCTCATCACGGGCTCGCTGCCGACATGCCAGTGGATCCGAGGTGTTTGATCCACGCTACTTCCAACGCACCCGGTATCGGACGCTGAGAACAGGCTCGCACACCGGGCACGTGTTTTGAAAACAAGATCCCTTTTTCTTGACTCGAGTTCCTGAAGTGCACAGCTCAAGCGGTTGGAACGCTGAAACCAGTGCCCGGTAGCTTCGCATCCTGTGCTGGAGGATGTCTCCGGGCCCTTTTCCTTCTGCGGTCCGTCCTGGCATTGAAGCTTAGCGGACAGAGGGCCAGAGGGCTGCGCGATGCAAGCATTTCTGACTTGGAAGACATTCGGCAGGGGGGTTCCTCAGTGTCGACTTTGCACTCCTCCGAGCAGCCAACCGAAAGAAAAGCCCACTCTGCTTTAACAATGCTCGGGGCGTCCATCACTTGGGACTCAGTGGAGGTTGATGCGATTCGCACGGCACGAGCAGTTCCTCCTTGTGCTGCTTTTACTCCTGCCCCTCCTGCCGCCGTCACCTTCGCCACCACCGCCGCTGCCACTGCCACTGCTGCCACCACCAGTAGTCCAGAGCCCACGAACTAGTGAAAGCCCAACAGGCTCCGAAGCATCAACTGGTGAGAACCGAAGCTGGAGACACTTCAAGGAAGCGACAGCTTCGGCGTGTGGGATCAGACCTTCTCATCAAGGCTCGGTTCGACTTCAGTGTGGGGGTAAGCCTCTTTCAGCAGGCTCACGGCTGTGGGAGTCGAAGAGTTGAGGTTCAAACTCTGCTTGTGACAAGATCAGAAGCTCTCCTTCGTGAGGCCTGGGCTTGCATAGCCTCCTTAAAGCTCCCAAAAAAAACTCTCAGAAGATCAGGAAAGTCCATTCTCAATCTCTTCCAGCACAACAGGAATCCCCTTAAAGGGACCCTTGTATACCCTTATAGTACCCCTATAGATCCCTTAAAGCCCCCAACTCTTTTCCGCAGCCGGAGGTCGGCCGCCCGGAAAAGCTCCTCCCAACGCTGCTCGCGGAAGATGCGCACCTCCTCACGCAGCCAGGGCCTCGGCGACTGGCAGCTGTGGCGAGGGGTTTAGGGAGTTTAGGGTTCAGGGAGTTTAGGGTTTAGGGCATTTAGGGAGTTTAGGTTTAGGGAGTTTAGGGTTTAGGGGAGGGTCTGTTCGGGTATTTTGGCTTGGGTTTTGTCGGGGATTTTCATGGCGAAGTTTGGCAACTCCTCGGTGTCCGCTGGGCTCGAACCCTTGCACCCAATCCAGGCGTGTTTGTTCATGTTTCCTTTTTTGACGGAATGCGCAGGAGCCAAGACCTGGTGTAGTTTGGTAGTTTCAGTCGATTGGTGCGTTAGCGTCCATTTGCATTTGGCTTCCAAAACAAGCTTCAAATCTAGGCAAGTTGTGTTGTTTTCCGGGCTTTAGTAATTCCCCATCTAGTCAAGACCCCCCACACAGCACCCAAATCGATGCACAGTGGCTTGTTTTCGTTGTGTTTGAAAGCCCCCGTAAACCAGATTTCATGACGTCGCTTTGAAATTGTCGGGTTTGTTGAGCCCTCAGAATTAGCTCGGACTCAGGCATCTTAGCTCGTTTGTTCCTGCTTTTCTAGGCGCCCGCCAAACAATTTTTGGGTTCCCTCAAGCTGCCCACCCAGCCCCAAATTCCAGCATCTTGGCCTGTTTTTTGCCAGTGTCTGAGTCAAGGTTTATGGGCACCCAAACAATTCACAACACCGTCTACGGTTGTTCGTTTCAAGGGCCACGGTGTTTTGGTCATTAGGTCGCGAGTGTGATGTTTTCCGCGAAGAGAGTCGCGGCCGAAACAGTCTTTGTTTCATGAACAGAACCTCCCCAGAACAGACGAGATTTAAGATACTCAAGCATGGAAGGCAGGAGGTCACATCTGCAGAGCTCACGATCGACGGTAACCTGCGACGAGCCTTGAGCGGCAGGCGGCTTCGTAGTCCGGGCTGAGAATGGCCATTTGCACCCTGATATCCTGAGAGCGTCAGGTGCCAGTGGCAATACTGCTGGGGTTCCACGCTCTTCCACAGGGAGAGCAGACTGCCCCTGGCATGTTGCAGTCGTGTCGTGTATATAGCCTTCCGATCACAAAGCCCGCAGGACGATGTTGGCTGTGCAGCAAGCCTCGACAATATACCAGAGCAGCTTGGCAGTTCGCGCTATTGGCTAGACCACAGTCTCAATGCAGCAGTCGCATCAGACCACTACGCATTCTTACCCAGCAGATTGCGGTTCGTGAGTGCACGACTTCTGTGCTTTGCTGTTCACCTGCAAATGCCCAGGTACTTCAACCAGTTTGTGAAGTGTGTATGGCCGGGCGCACAGTATGCGTTGAGAGATCGCCAGCACCATAGCTGGACATGAGTCTAGCTTAGGTCGGGCCAGGTGCAGAAATCTGAGGAGCAGGTAGCAGATGGGAAAAGATCTTTGTTGCTCTTGTGGCTTTCAAATCGGTTCCATCGCTCTCGCTGTTGCTGGCGCTGCTAGGTTATGTTGTTGCTGCTAGTCACGACGGTCCTATGATTCCTATGATGATGTGCAGCGAGGTGGTCATGACAATGATGACGAGCATCGGGAGGGAACGGTGGTGACGGTAGTGGTGGTGGTGGCGGTGGTAGTGGCGGTGGTGGCGGTGGTGATGATGATGATGCGGCTAAAGGGTGAGGCTGATGGCGGGTAGCTGTTGTTTCTGTCAGGTGGACATTCCTCGGGTAGCCCGCTTGGTGCGGCCCTGCTTGCCAGATCTGGAGCTTGGGAGCCTGCCGCTGCCCGAAGCCCACGATCTGGACTTCGAGCCGACCTGGCGAGCACCTCGCTCACAAGACTTTTGGACCACCTGTAGCGCCTGCCTGCGTGCGTTGACAGTAGACACCGACACCTCGTTGAACCGGATCGATTCGCCTGCCGAGGATCTGCCATATGCGGAGGAGCTACCAGAGCCCTGTCGTGACGACGAGTTCTTGGGGGGCGAGGAAGCCGGGTTGGAGCGCCTGGCCGACTATCTGAGGACGGACTTCCAGCCGCTTAGCTTAATACATCGATGCGAATATTCCGCCACGTGTGGGCTGTCAAGGTACACGTTTCACACAGACCGCTTGGAGCATTTCGGTGAGTACTATGCATCCAGATTGGGGCCCTGGATGGCACATGGCTGTCTCTCGCCACGCAAGGTCAGCACCAGGAGTTGTGCAACGCTGAGCTGATGCGCTCGTCTCTTGAATCAGTTTGGCGCAGGTCTTTGAAGAGATTTGCCGCTGCGAAGTCCAGTCTCCGGGCCTGTCGCACACGCAGCGCCTGGCGGTCGAGTTGACTTGGCGGGACTTCTTCCGATACCTGTCCGGGAAGCATGGCGCCACCGCGGCAAATATTGAAAGGATGAATCTTCGGATGGACTGAGCCTGGGAGAGTCCCGGAGGATGAGTCTACAGCCGAGGTAACGGCATCTTCCGTGAAGGTGGGGTGAAAGGCTACAAGCGAAAGTGGAAGCAGGACGTTCGCATGTTCAATCTCTGGTCTGAAGGTCGAACTGGTGCCTTGGACTTGCAAGCAGCACAAGCACCAGTGAACGTGTGTAGTGTCCTTACAAGAGAAGCGTCAGAGATGCCCAAGCACGCGATGTGCGTTGCAGGCTACCCACTCGTGGACGCCTGCATGCGCGAGCTGGGAGCCACTGGCCTGGCATCAAACCACGCGCGGCTGAATGCAGCGTCCTTTCTTGCCTGCAGCATGGGCTTCGACTGGAGGCTGGATTTCCGGCCAAGAAGTGTAAGGAGAGTCGAGAGGGTCAGACAGATTAGATTGGAGGTTGCATCTTCCTCTTGCAGCTTGCAATGGATGCTGGTGTTGCTGAGTTTCCTTTTGCAAGACTGATGATCGCATTAGCAGTGGTAGCAATCTCATTAAGGCTGTCGCTATAGCATCAACAAAAGCAAAGGCAGCAAAAACCAAAGCGACAACAACAACGATACCAGCCGAAACAGCAGCATCAACTAGCCATTACGCACGGTAGGGTAAGCACAGGTGCTGCGTGGTACTTTCAGCATCTCTGTGAGATCGAAGGATCTACAAGTTGCACTTCCAAGATACTTCTTGTGGCACGCAATCCTTGGTCTATTGCGCTGGTTGTTGGGCAGTCGTCACTTCGGGCACCTGTAGTTATAGCCTGTCGTTCGGTTTGCAAACCGGGCGGAGTTCGGAACACGAGCTCGCAGCGGTAAGCTGGTGAGCTCCGCAGTTCTGTGCAGAAAACCTTGGGCCCAATGATTCACGGAGCAGAATCTGCTCAACAAGTGTTCGATGACCTGTCTCTCTGGGCTCACCGTGGCTTCAGCGCCATTCAGGTGCGTTTGAGGGACCGGCAAACTCTGTCGCAAGTTTTGGGGTCGGTGCGCTTGCCAACTGTTTTGAGATGTTTGCTCCAGGGTGAACATCGTGTTCTGGCAACTCACCCATGTAGGCGAACTCAGCGATGGCAAAACGAACTGAAGAGTTTGCAGGCGCGGTGCAGATTGGTTTGAGAGCCATCTTCTGGACTATGCCACTTTGCCGCACAGAGGTCCGAAGATAGTTGCTGTGGCGCGGGTCCGGCTTCCTGCACAGGGTAGCAGACGGGTCAGTAGTGTAGCACGTGCATGTTTGTCACGGCACCTTGCCCGGGATCAAAGATCCAACAAGGCAGTCAACGAAACTTGCTTCAGAGTGCTTGAGTGGCCCAATACCTTTTGCTGGTGCTGGTGATTTGCCGTGAAGATAGGAGTTACGGGAGTTTCAGAGAACAAGGCCCGTCATGCGGGTAGTTCTCTAAAGTACGGTCCCTTTTTGGGTCCTCAAAAAGTACGGCACCCTTATAAAAAGGGCAGTAAAAGAGGGCCTATTTTAGAGAACTACCCATGCCCATCCATGATGTGAGGATGTAACCTCCAACTGGGCGAATTGGGTGCGCTGCGCCGGCCTCACGGAGGGTCGCCTGAGCTCTTTCAACGTGGCTTCTTGGCTTTGGACTTCAGAATGGTGGCTCCGAACAGTGTGCCTTCCAGAAAGAGACTGACAGTGGCGGCACCTTCGAAACAGAGATGGGGGGGGGGCGAATCCCCATAAGGTCAGGCAGTCGCAAAAGCTGGACCCAGAGGGGGTGTACCTGAAGCGCTGGCTGCCAGAGTTGGAGCAGGCCGTCGCCAGTTCTCTGCCTGTATGCCAGAAATCGAATCAATTATAATAGTAATGGTAAGAGCAGAATACTACTAATAATAATACGTAATGGACACTAATAACAATAATAATAGCAAGAATTGTAATAATAGTAATAACAGTAATGGCAATAGTAATATCAATAGCAATAGTAGCAATTAAAACAATAGCACCTATTAAATGAAGACTTGGACAGTTAAATATGCAGAAAGCCACAAAACACTGCCAGACCTACGAAAAACTGTTATAAACAAAGGCATAGAAAAGGATACTAACAATATATAACAATCGTGATAATAGTCAGAATAATAATAAAAATAAGTATAATATAGTTATGAATCATGGTAGCCGCTGCGCGCATCTTAGCCAGTGAGCCGGAAGGTCGACCCCCCTTTGATCCACGAGCCGCCCCTTGGCCCAAGCTCCGACGCCTTTGGGCGTCGTTTGCCCTATGATTTCAAGGCAATTCGTTGGAGATAACTTAATAACACGTCTAAAACAGAATGTATATGTGCTTTCTATATATATATACACATGTAATATATGTATGTAGAAAAGATAAAAAGTATGTGAAGAACCTGCCAGGTCCTTTCT